TTAGATTAGGTAGATTAACAAAATCATTTTACAGGATGAAGTTTAAAAGCAATCAGAAATTTACAAAGTGTTTGACAATTAAACTGTTGCTATATTCACAAATTGTTAGTTCTAAAATATATGGATGAAAACCAGGCCTTCCTCATTTTTTCTCTGCGTGTTTTTGTGGGTGGCCAATCTATTTATTATTTACTTTCATATATTACAGGAGAACAGGGGAATTTTGAGAAAGAGAACACAACCAATCTGGGTCTGCCATATGACTATGATTCAGTTATGCATTATGGCGCGTAAGTTTACTGATTGACTGACTTAAATAATTTATGTGGCCACCCAACTTCAACACCACCAGTATGGGCACATACAGTAGATCTTAAACCAAAGAAGATGAACAATTTGAATTAAAATCCAAGTTTTGTCTCAGAGCATCTTTTCTTTTCTGACATAACTCCTTGTGATTATAGAAGAAAGTTAGACTCCTTGTTTATTTGTTTTCAGATAAGAATCCTTCTTTTAAAATCAGAAAAAATTTATCTTCTTTCTGGTTTCTTCTTTTGAGAACAGCATTTAATTTCTGAAAAGTATGGAAGCAGGGAGAAGGTTAGAGGTTAAACTACAAACCATGGCTATGTAATTCTCTCTTAGCTTAGCAGTTGGGCAATCAACCAACTGTAGTGTTTGGGACTTCATTCTTTTCTACAACAAAATTCTAACACAGCCGAGTCATGACTGGGAGTCTTCTGCCAAGTTGTTCCAAGAGCTCAATTAAGGGTTAAGTGTCTGGACATCTGTGATTTATGCCACTTCTGGGTGTGAGCTTGGCAGTGTATGAGAACCGATAACACAATTGTCACAGGGGAAAAAAGCCATAAACAAAAACCTGCTAGCTCCATAGAACTTTTGGCTGAGAAGCACGGCCAAGTGATAGTTCTTTGATTGTTATTCAATGTGTTTGGCTTTAGGAATAATTTGCCCCAGTTAAGGAAAGATTCAAAAAAACTGAAACCAGTCGTTTCTCATCTAATTCAACAAAAAACAAGAAAAAAAGATGAACCAGAACAATTCTATTAGCTATAAGGAGAGTTTTCTGTTGTCTAATTCTCTCCACGTCCCCACCCCACCCCACCCCCACACTGAATATTATTATTTGGAAATTCTTATTAAGATAGGTTTTCTTCCTTCCAATAGAAGGGAAAAATTCTCATTGCCAACAATTCATTGTTGCTGAATTCAGATCTCGTGCTTATACGTGACAAATGTCTTGGGATATTATCCTGGTCATTAATGGTTTTCTAGGATTGTCATTCAGATATTATCTAAGATATGGACTTTTAATAAATTTGCCAGAATGGAGTTTGTAATTTGTTCCTATTTTTTTGGCAGGTATGATTTTTCTAATACTGCTGGAAAACCAACCATTGTCCCCATTCCTAATGGATCTGTACCAATTGGTCAGAGAGTAGGGCTGAGCAACTTGGATGTGAAAAAAATCAATAAGCTCTACAATTGCAGTGAGTTATAAAATCATATTACAATTCACTTTTCATCTAACATTGTGAATTTTTATAACATTGAATAACTGGACAGCCAATCTAATAAAATAATTGGGCATTGCATGACATCATTCAACATAATGCTTTAAAGATAGGGAATAATTTACTGTACACCTGTTACATAATAGAAATAGGCTCAAAATATGGAGTATTTTGTATAAATATGGAGTTGAAGAATAATGCTGAATGTGATAAGAGCAATATGTGACGAAAGGAATGTGTGCCATGCTTAGTGAGTGATTCTGGAAGTAAAACAAGGATGCATGATGTCATCTTTGTTATTTAAAGTATTTATGGTTAAAGAAATGTATAATGAATATTTCTGATGACTTATATTGGTTGGGGACATGCATGTTTATGTACTTGAGAACCCAAATAATTTACAGCATATGCTAAATTATATTCTGCAGGGAAGAGTATGGATCTGAAAATGTATGCATTAAAGACAAAATAAATGGAGTGAACAATTATTCAAAACTGGTGAAAAATTAGAGCAAGTACATGAATTGGTGTATCTTGATAGAATGTTTACCAAAGATGGGAAAATGAAAGGAGAAATGTTAAGACATGCAAATGTTGGTAGGAAAGTAATGATTTGTTACAAGGAATTAATGCTTGTTGAAAAAAGCTAAAATGGCTTGCTTTAAGAGTGTGCTTCTGTCCACTTTGGTATATGGAACTGAGTGTTGGCTATGTCAGAAGAAATATAACATTAAATTAAATGGAATAGGAATGAGTTATTTAAGAAGTGCACATGATAAATAAGGGGAAAAGAAAGGATCAAGAATGAATGGATAATGAATGAAAGTGGACTGAATACAAAAGTGAGTGACCAGTTTGTTGACACGGTTTATTCACATAAATTGAATGAAGATCAAATCTCTAAACAAATGTATGAAATAAGAGTGAACAGACTGAAAAGAAGGGAACACTCAGAAAGTGGTAGATCAATGGAGCTGAAGAGATCCTGAGAAAGAGAAGGGTGAGAAATTTTAAAGAATAAAGGGCAACGTATGAAGTAGTGTATGGTCATAGTGAAAGTAAGATTTTCTTATTTACATGCTGTTTTTCTATGCTTTGCATAACACTGCTTATTCCAAAAAAGAATAGCATGAGAGAGAGAGAGAGAGAGAGAGAGAGAGAGATGATAGATACAGATACAGATACAGATACAGATACAGATACAGATACAGATACAGATACAGATACA